GAAATGTGGATTTCACTGTCTCTCAAGGGACGCGACCTGTCCGTCCTCAGCTTCGAGACATCGCCTCTTTCTGACAGTTCAGGGGCAGCAATCAGAATCCCACCAAAGCTCACGCACAACAATCAGGAGGGTGTGAGTGTGGAGGGTGAGGATGTGAGGGTGAGGATGTGAGGGTGAGGATGTGAGGGTGAGGATGGAGGCTGAGGATGTGAGGATGGAGGGTGAGGATGTGAGGGTGAGGATGGAGGGTGAGGATGTGAGGGTGAGAGGAGGAGACGGACTGTTTCTAATGAGCAGACAGATCCTCCTCGTGTCAAACGCAGCAGTGGTGGGCGCCGCTGACTCGCTGAATCCTTTGTGACAGGCCGCGCTGCCGAGTGAATGTGCTGAGAGACGTGTGACCTCGCGGCCAAAAGAAAATAAACAGAAACAGTCACAGCTGATGTGACGGAAACATTCTGATAACGAAGCTTTCATTTCCAACATCACAGCTTCGAGACCTACTTCTGATCCACTGAATGATTGATAACTACTGATGTCGACTCTACGGATCTGAGCCTCTCGGTCACGTCACCATCTGTGTTTTCTGTTTCATGGAATCAACACTGAAGAAAACATTTAACCTTAGAATGAAACGAGCGTCCACTTTGATCTCAAACACTTTCAGATCAAAGTTTCTTACATTAGCCACAAAGTAAGTCCAATAGATCGATGAACGGAGCCGGGACAAATCGTCATGAACAGGATTCGAACCTGTGCGGGGAAACCCCATTGGATTTCGAGTCCAACGCCTTAACCTCTCGGCCACCATGACACATGTGTGACTCTTCCTGTTGCCATGGTGATGAAGGTGCACTGGTTTCACAGTTCTACTCGTTATAAATGACTTTCATGCTGATTCATGCTGTGATGCTGCGTCCAGGTGAACGAGTCCTTGAACATGTCCGTCGCCTGCTGCCTCGGCGCCGCTGTCAGCTGTCACAACACGTCCGACTCCATCACTGTCAACGTGCCCTTCGCTCGTCTCCTCTTTATTTCTCCCTCTCAGCGCTGCCTGTTGTTCTGAGCTCAGAGCACAAGACTCTCAACACACATTTAAACCAAATCACTCTGGATGTGACTCGTGTGTGCAACATTTGATCTCGTTTCACGGGTCACCGCAGGAGACGTCAAGCATTAACATCACACGGGCGCTCGGATCCATCCGGATCCATGGGACGCTGAGCTCTGATTGGCTGGACGGGGGCGTGTGAAACTGTTTAACGCAGTTGTTTGTCTTGATCTTGGTCACGGCTGTCATGAACATTCATCGTACCATTTACAGTAACCAAACTGTGTAACCATGGCAACAAGTTGAGAAACATATACACGACTTGAGTTTTCAGTCATGAAGGACGTCAATCTGCAAAGTGCTTTTCACGGTCGACCTGCAGCGAGGGAGATAAAGTCCTTCAGCTAAAAACAATGAAAGGATAAAAAAGAAACTGATTTGAGTCATGTGACTGACTCTGCAGCTTCAGAGTTTCAAGTGTTTTACTTTTTACCAGGAGGCTGCAGGAAAAAGCTCCAGAAAATGTGATTGACTGTCACATGCAGGAGCTCCAGAACATTTCAGGGTTTCAGGTCTGAAAGCATCTGCAGTGGGTTCATGCAGATGTGCAGGGTGGACTGGTGGAGTGACAGTTTTTCTTAAAACAATTTTAGGAAAAGCTCCGATCAAATTAACGCGGCTGATCCTCCGACTGACCTCCGGCTCCGATTAGCTCTGCCTGAAATCTTTCTGAGGGCGGCGGAGGAATTAATGCCGTTAACGTGGCAACGGGGGAGACGGGATGAAGAGATGTGAGACGTGAGGAGAGGAGGTTCATTAGAGACAGTGGTGCTCAGGACTCGTGGAGACATTAGTCTTAAAAGGAATTAAGGCGGGTGGTTGGTGATTAGTGAAGCACGTGAATCTGAGAGCTTTTGTTAGTGAGGAACAATAATGTAATTTAATAAATGACCTTCAGCAAACCCCTTTAAACAGCGATCAGTGTTCCATGGCAGAAGGTTTAAGCTTTAACTTCAAACTATTTCCTTCATTATTAGTTTCAGTTTATCTATAATATCACCTGGACAACTTTTCTGAACTGTGTTGACATTGAACTTTATATAAAAGTCTGATTTCAGTCTGAGGAACTGTTAATTTTACTGAAGGTTCATGATTGAAACAGGAAACACGAACCTGCAGAATCAACAATGTTACATGTAATTCTCTGCTTTGTCCCCCAGGTGGCAATGAGGGCCCCATACCCCTACCCCACTGTGGACATTCCAGACCACGCCCACTACACCATCGGCTCTGTCATCCTCGCCATCGGCATCACCGGCATGGTGGGAAACTTCCTGGTCATTTACGCCTTCAGCAGGTAACATTTCTGGCTAACTTTAGGTCAATAGGTCAAGCTGATGGTGAGCGCCCTCTGCTGGATAACGAGGGACACTACTTCAGATCTGATTTACCTCTAGACGTTACACTTTCAGTTCACACAGGTCATTACTTTTAAAATACGAACTTTCCACCCCACGTTCAAATGACTACGTGAATTTTGACATTACAGTTTGACTGTTGTAAATCCTCCATGTTTTTTTAAATAAAACTATAAACCTCTGTAGCACCACTGCTACGTGCAAAACAGTAAAAGTTAACGTAATCCTCTGATATCAGGATTTTTTTAGTAATCGATAAATCAAAACATGCGAAAACAGCTCAGTCTTTTTCTCTAGTGTTTAAAAATGTTTTGTGATCTGAAAGTTCCCACGACTTATTTGCTGGAGCTGAAATAAAGGATATGTGGCAGACAGGAGGATCTTCTCCTCAGCTCCTCGGAGCTCGAAGCGGAAACAATTGACCAGAGCTGCAGTTTCTCCATCTGGAGACTCAGAGGAACGTCTGGTGTGAAGTGATGGATTGTCAGGTTTCTCCTGAAGCTGCAGACGTTAATCAGAGTCGAGGCAGAAGAGCCTCCTCCTGCTGTGATCAGGAACCCGGGTCGTTGTCTGTGCGACCTCGGGCCGTAACGATTCATCGACCACACACTCGGTCTCTTATCTTCCATCACAGCACAGACAAACGTCTTTATCTGAAACACAGAGCAGCTACTTCTCCCGACTCGTTTGAAGAAGCTTCTGCACTTAAAGTTGGATCCACTTATCGATCGGAGCCTTTGTGTGGCAGGTATCGATCCTTCGTTCAAATTAGACCATGATGGATGTCCCATTGATCATGGGGGTAATTGTAGGACTGAAGCAACTCTAAGTGATTTTTCCATGGAGGCTCTTCGTCCTCTAAAGCATCATGTCATGTCCCAGTCGTCAGGTCGTGTCCACGGTGTCGTCAGACACAGCATGTTACCGTGAGCCGAGAGGAACAAAGAAGACTTTTCATGTGATGTCAAAGACTGAACATTGTGTCGTCGAAGTTAGCATGCTAACCAGCTAGCTGCAGCTTGGCTTGTGTCCTAAAGCTTTGAACCTCAGGAGGTGACAGCTCGTCACTGTAGCGTCCAGTCAGGGGTTAGCGGTTAGCGCTCCATCGTCCAAATCTGTTTCATCCCTGAACCAACTTTAACTTTTTTTCCTATAAAGAAATAGATACTAGAATTTTCATGTGTAGCTCCTTCAGGCACTGCTGGGATTTGAACCCAGGATCTCCTGTTTACAAGACAGGTGCTTTGACCAGCTAAGCCACAGCGCCGCTGTCAAAAGGTTTGTTTAGCAAAAAATTAACCTGGACGCATCTGACACCTGTGTGTGTGTGTGTGTGTGTGTGTGTGTGTGTGCACTGCAGGAGTCGCAGCCTGAGGACACCGGCCAACATGTTCATCATTAACCTGGCGATCACAGACCTGCTGATGTGCGTCACTCAGGCGCCCATCTTCTTCACCACCAGCATGCACAAGAGGTGGATCTTTGGAGAGAAAGGTGACGGCACTCACACTCACTCACACACTCACTCAATATCTGCTGTGATGGAGGGGGCAGGGTTTAGATGTTTCTGCATCCTCCTCTTAAAAGACATTCAGGGCTGATTCATGGTCCAGAGGAAAGTTTCCACCTGTAGATTACACAGAGACTTTGAACCAATGGCCAGGCAGCACTTTCAAAATTTGTGTTTTACAGGAGCTGGAGTATAAAGTTCTAATCTAAAATTGAATATGTGTCTTAAATATCTGTCTCTCCTCTGCTTTTCAAAACAGGTCTGAACTGAGTAAAGTCAAAATCCACCACGCTCCTCACCCTCCTCTTCTCTGAACCTCGCTTTCACTCTTTCTGAATTTTCATTACCAGGCCTTAAAGTGAGAGTTAGTGAATTTCAGCTCAGACAGAAGCGGCGAGGTGTTTGCATTAGAGTAAATCCTCCTCGCTCCAAGGTCATTTTAATATGACGGCTCGCCGGGTTTTTAATTCCCCCGAGTGGAAAGAGCCGCTGAACGTGTTTTTATCAGCTGAATTTAGAGTGAGACGCTGATGTGAAGACTACAGGAGACACTTCTTCTTCTAACCTGTGTTTACTGGGTCCGTTCACCTGTTTCACATAAAAGATTTATCAACTGATTTACACAGACATCTGAGTTTATGTTGGCAGATATTATGTTTGTTTAGAGTTGAAGAATTGAGTGAACGTCTGTCAGACCTCGATGAACTGTCTCTAACCTTTAAAAAGCAGAGTATTGATCCGTTCATTAATCCACAGTTTGACTGCTGGGACCTGGTTTTATCTTTTCTAGTGGTTGTGATGAAGGTCTCCTCAAGGACTCTAAATGCTCCACAGGAGGTCGGATGAAGTTTTATAAAACGTGATGTCAGGCAGAGTATGATGAGGAGGAGGCGGCTGCAGATGTTCCACCTGGAAAATGTTTCTGCAGCCTCAGGTCCCGGTGATCAAACCCTAATCAGGAGCACTCAGCCAATCAGACGATGTTGAATCATGTGCAGTTAATTAACTTGTCGACAGGAAGTAAGAGACGCGTGGATGTGAAACATAAACCTGTTATCTTCATCCCTCTGTCTGCAGGCTGCGAGCTGTACGCCTTTTGTGGCGCCCTGTTTGGAATCTGCTCCATGATCACGCTGACGGTGATCGCCATCGACCGATACTTCGTCATCACGAGGCCTCTGACCTCCATAGGCGTGTTGTCACGGAAACGGGCCTTCCTTGTCCTTGTGGCTGCATGGTTGTATTCTTTGGGATGGAGCTTGCCGCCATTCTTCGGCTGGAGTGAGTACACACACACACACACACACACCAGTCACATGTCGTAATTATTCAGTTATAGTCACTGGTTGCTTCTGTCTCGGTCTCGTCTGTAAGGCGCCTATGTCCCTGAGGGTCTGCTGACTTCCTGTACGTGGGACTACATGACCTTTACGCCGTCAGTGCGAGCGTACACCATGCTGCTCTTCATCTTCGTCTTCTTCCTGCCGCTCTTCATCATCATCTACTGCTACGTCTTCATCTTCCGAGCCATACGCAACACAAACCAGTACGTGTGTGTGTTGTAATGTTGCAGCTTGTTGGATTTGTATTATGACCAAAACAATAAGGTGATAGTGATCCTAAATGTGTGTGTGTGTGTGTGTGTGTGTGTGCAGGGCTGTGGGGAAGATTAACGGCAGCACTTACAGTCACAGCAGCAGTCGTGACTCGGTGAAGAGTTTCCACCGGCTGCAGAACGAGTGGAAGATGGCGAAGATCGCCCTGATTGTCATCCTGCTCTACGTCATCTCATGGTCGCCGTACTCCACCGTTGCCCTCACCGCCTTCGCCGGGTAAAACACGACACACAGGCTGCAAAATAAAATCTCTTAAATCGAGGAATTCAAATCTACAGCTGCAGTTCCTCTCATGTCGTCGAGATGGTGCCCAACGAAAAGTCTGACTTTCATTCTAAGTTGAAATTTGAAAAACATAATTAAAATATAAAAACGGATTTAAAGCAGTTTTTACAAAAGTTCAATCGTCAGTAGCTAATTTTACCGAACTCGTTTCTGTTATCTGATTTCTCAGTTGCCAATGAGTTTTGGAACTTGGTGACAGAGTGTTCAGATGCACACATTCGACCATCAGTTCATCTCACCGAGTTTGGTTTGTTTCCTGCTGCAGATACGCCGACATGTTGACTCCCTACATGAACTCTGTGCCCGCCGTCATCGCCAAGGCCTCCGCCATCCACAACCCCATCATCTACGCCATCACACACCCGAAGTACAGGTAACACGCTGCGTGAAGGTTGCATCTCACTGAACACACTTTGAACAGCAACAAATATTTATCGGATCCAATTTTCCACCTTATTTCCTGCCATCATTATTTCTTTAGAATTAGCTCGGCTTGTTACAAGGACATTTTCAATAAAGGCCAACGCAGCTTGGAACTAATTAAATAGAAAATGGAGAAAGTGTCAGTTGTTGCTGTGATTAAATACCCACTCATGATATTAAAGGTTTTTATCCAAAGAAAAATAATTATTTAAGAGAGAAAATCTATTTTACGGGCCTGTGAATTATTATAAAACAGTTTTTGCCTTTCTTGGAAATATACTTTACAGTTAAATATCAATAATACCAAAATATCAAAGATACAGGAACATTTGTATAAATAAACTGTAATTACTCAACATTTCCTGACTGGTCCCTCCTCAGTATAATCTTGAAGCACCAGTTGGACTCACTGTTTGACTGGAGACTTTAATATGAACAGTTCAGCTCAGTGAGCCGCTGCTGAGCCAGGATCGATCCAATCAGAGAGAGCTGCTCAAAGTGCTCTAAAACATCAGCCCAACTAATCGCTGCCCAGTTAACCTGAATGTTAACTGGGCTGGAGAGAATTAAACACACACACACACACACACAGGCGATGGTTTGATGCAGGACACCTGACCTTGATTGTTAAGAGATTTGAAAGCTGCAGGATGAAAAGAAAACAGCTTATATAACTGTTTTATACAACGACATCATGCTTCCAGCCGCTGGAGACGACTTGACAAGTGAAGAATTGAAGTTTGATGACGAACTCGTTTATGATTAATAAATAAATGGCTGTTAATACTTACAATGGTTACTTAGCAACGTGCATATAGCTCCTTTCAGGTGGTATTTATGCTTCTGTAAAAGATTAGCATAAATGCATCTCAACAACAAACCTGTACATCAAGTAGATACTATACAATACAGTTAAAAACCATACAGTATAATACAATACAATACAGGACAACTTTATGAATCATGAAGGAAATTTGGTTTAAAAGAAAAAACAAGATACTGACATGCACTGACAAACATGCACTAAACAACAGCACAATAAAACAGCATAAATCAGCTGTTCAAGTTGAAATAAAGAAAAATAAAACAGTTCACGTCACAGATAGTTAGTGTGTGTCTCACGCTCCAGGCTCTAGAGGGTCAGAATTGTCCTGTTATGCTTTGTCCACCAGGCGGAAGGCTTCTGGAGTGAATGGATGTTGTTTGTCATTATTTCTTGAGCTGTTACCTTGACCTGCTGCTCATATAATGAGACCAGGTTACACAGGGACAAAGAAGAATGATTCACCTCCTGTGTGGAGGAGGGTTGTGGCACAAAGATGATTACAAACATGGACGTAGACTGGTTTCTATAGAGGTCTATAGAAAACGACTCCACCGGTAGCTTGTATAGAAAAGGACTCAGTAAACTTTGTCCTCAGAAGTTTATGTCTCAGTCTCTAGTTTCACGTCTTCTTCAAACAGCTGACGTTCATTTATCAATTCTGATCATTTAGAGTCAAACACACCAGAAAGCACCGAGCCACACCGGTGTGATTGACAGCTAGTCCCCTCCAATGGGTGCAGGTGGGAGGTGTAGGTGGGCGTGCAATCTCCTCGAGCTCTCAGTCAGGCTCCACCCCCTGCTCCTCCAAATATGGTTACTTCTGGTTTCAAAAACCAAGATGGTGCTGGACGACATGTCCACCTGAGGCTCACTTCAAACTCTCTCTCTCTCTCTCTCTCTCTCTCTCTCTCTCTCTCTCCAGGGTTGCGCTCGCTAAGTACATCCCGTGTCTCGGCGTCTTGCTCTGTGTTCATCCTCGCGACCTCCGCTCGACCAGCAGCAGCTTCGTGTCGACGCGCCGCTCCACTGTGACCAGCCAGTCGTCCGACATCAGCAGCCAGTTCAGACGGCAGAACTCCGGCAAGGCCCGCCTCTCCTCCGTGTCCGACAGCGAATCGGTAAGCTCTGAGCGGTGAAAGCATGTTCAGTGACGTACAACAGAGAGAAAGGAGATACTCAGGTGTGTGTGTGTCGTCTGGATTGTGTGTGCACCTCTGCCGACGTCAAAGTGTGTTTTCCTTGCAGGGTTTGACAGACACCGAGGCGGATCTGTCCAGTATGGGCTCCAGACCGGCCAGCCGCCAGGTCTCCTGTGACATCAGCAGAGACACCACCGAACTCCCCGACTTCAAACCCTCGTCCAGCTTCAAGTCCAAGATGAAGAGCAACGACTCGGGCATCTTCGAGAAGGTAAACCCCTCCTACCTGTCAATCAAGCCCCTCAATGTAGTAGTTGATGTCTCATTGCACGAAACATTTGCTTCACGTTCGGTCTGAACGACGTGTGTAAAAATTTATATTGAGGGTTTAAACCTTGAATCCACTTTTTTTCGGAGTTTGTCCTGGTCGACCTTCAGACAGCGTGAAAACAGAGGGAGAAGGATTAAACAGCAGATCGTCACAGCGGGACCCTCACAGACTGTGTCAGGAGGCATTTTACCCGTCATGCAGATTATTAACGTTACACTCCGGGGATGAGGATGTGAGGGGTCACCTGAGGAGGATTCTGGGTCGTTTTGTGGGTTAGCTGAGGCAGTGAAAGCGGATCTGTGTCACTCAGGCAACAGAACGTAACAGCGATGTTTTCACGTTAATCTGCTGCTCTTTTTTTTGCGCTCTTTAATCTGCTGAATGCGTTTTTTTAGCTCGGACCAGAAAATCCTCTTTTAGATCTTAATCACTGACTGAAGTCTGACATCTAATTTTAAAGGCATTTTAAAAATCAGGGTGTTCGATGAGTGATGGGTTTTGATGAGTGATCCTCTGGTTGATTCAAATATGAGTTTGGAATACTGCACTTCCTCTGTGTGACCGTTGGTGTTCATGAGGAGGACGTTCATCATTATATATTTATATTGTTTTCCAGTCCTACGACACCGATTTCTCCATGACTGGAGTCAGTGAACGCAGCAGCATCCCAAATGTGAGTATTCTTCAGCAGTTTGAACATTATCAAATTAAGATCCAAACTCTGATGAACTACTTTAGTAAAGTTATCACTGAATGTTTTAGTGAAGTCACGTGCAGTGTCATTTTTGTTTGATGCATTTCACCCAATGACTCCATCATCTCATCATTGTTGATATAACAATTAGATTTTCCTGTGTCCCAGAGCGGCGACTACGCAGACGGACACGTGAGGAGAGGCACGATCAGTCGAATCCCGAGCATCGTCGTCACCTCAGAGTCCAGCCCCTTCTTTCCCATTGGACGGAATGGTTCACGCATCGCCCGCCCCAAAACAAACAACAACAACAACAACAACAGCAACAGGGGAGCAGGGCACGGGTAGACTGACTCCAGCAGCCAATCACCTGCAGCCCCCTCCTCAGCTCACACCCTGTCAGATATTTAGAAACGTAGAGTTCAAACACACCTGAAACTAAGACACAAACAAATCCATCCGAGGGAATTATCCGATTTTCACTCTTGGTAGCATTTTTATAAAATGTAGGTTTCAACCAGAACACAGAACAGAGACGGAGAAATCCGAATTACAATTCATACATTAAAGAGCAACGTAACACTTTGTTTAAGCCTGAACACACTTCCTTCCTTTTCAAGTGCCCCCTTATGGTGAATTTACAACAAATACAAAACATTTATTCATCACGATAACATACACGCTCAATGCAAAGACACTAATAGACAGAATTCATTCTACTTTTATCCAAATATCTTCAGCATATAAAGGACAAACATACACAGAGAGAACAGGAGGGATTTGAAATGAGTTGGAAACACTGCTGCATCTGTGAGGAAAGAAAACTCCAAATGTTTTGCAGAGACATTTCTTTTTTCCAGCTTGTCAAAACATTTTTCAAGCCTTCTTTAACTTTAACTTTATAAAACCTATATATTATTAGATTTCAAGCTTTCAAACACTACGTTCCAACCTTTCAAAGCCTTTTCACTGGTTTCTAAATATGACTTGATATTTATCTTGCATGAATGTTGGATTGTTTATTTTAAAAAAATTGGAAACAGACTCTCAATGCTGCTGATGTCATTTCTGCTTTTATACGTTGTGCATCTTATTAACCAGGTTGAGATGTCTGATAGTTCAGACACAAATTTAAGGTTATTGCCAAAAGAGACTGTAATGTATTTTTCTCCCCGTTTGAGCAAGTAGCAGATACATTAATTGTATTATTACTATTATGATGTCATCCTATAGGAGCTCAAGTAAAGTCTGGCACAAAGTAAACACTTTAAATTTAAAGGTCTGTGAACTAATCCCTGAACTTTGTCTGTGGCGTTTTTGGATTAAGGCTCATTTATGCTCAACGTTAGATGTAATTGATTTTTCTAAACTTTTTGAGGAGAGACTTTGTCAGATTGTAAGAAACTACGTTAACAACCATCTCCTCCTTCGCCATGTTATAGATATTTAAAGATAACAAACACACACACACACACACACACACACACACACACACACACACACACACACTTCAGAGGAGAAGTCTCATCAGTGGAGGATCTTTTAACATTGATTCAGAAAACTCTAGCTGTGTCTCAATTCAGCTGCTGCCATCTACGTCAGCTTACGCTGCATCGGCCGAAGGAAATGAGACGTCCTGGTCTTCCTATTGTTTCACCAGCTTGTCCCACCCTTACAGCCGTCGCCTAGCAACAACAAAACCACATGAAAATATTCTTAGGTTGATTTAAAACGTTGGAAATATATATTTTTAACATGTGTTCCAAGCTGTTCGGTTGAGTACTTTCGCTGAAAAATATATTCTTCTGACATATTCTGTTGCTCGGGGGTTGGAAGGACACATTTGTGGAGCCTTCGAATTGGGGCCGTCTAATCGTGCCGCTGTGACGCAATTGTTCTACAAATGCAGCCTCAGGAAGATGCAGTCCCTGAAGTGAGACACAGTTCATTATATAACTGAAGACAAACGAGTATCTGATAGTGTTTCTTTTATTACTTTTACTAAAACCTTTAACCTAAAGAAATTAGTTTTCCTGCTCCTCATTTCTTGTCCCTGATTCGTAAGGTTTAACTAACGTGTTTTGTTCTCTTTAGAAGAGTTCCTCGTTTCCCTTCAATGGAAGTTTGAAGAAAAAGTGTTCATGTGAATTAATTGCGTGTTGAGATTGTTTGCAGCACAGATTTTTCTGTTTCTATTCTTATTGTTGCTTTTGATTGAATTTATCTGTTGTGCTTTTTCCTGCTCAGTTCTCTGCAGAGTGATGTGACAGGCAGAAGGTTTTTCTCTTTCACTGTTAGTTAAACATAAATGTGAAATGTAGCCCAGCTTTAAATTTGACTGTTTATTAACCCTCCATATGGTAAGAAAAATATTGTGTCTATAAAGTGTGGATGGTAGTTTTATTTTTTGTATTGTTGAGTAGAATGTTACTTCAATGCTAAATCTGCCTTTGTTATCATGAACAAATGGTTTTGGCATAAATTTAAATGTTTAACAAGCAGTGGACAACACAAGACAGAGTTTACCGACAAATGTACCAAACTACACACAAACATCCTCAAACTACAACGAAATGATGTTCTATCACGTCTCAGCTTTAGTTGAACAAAAAACCAGATCAGAACCAGAAACAACCAAAACAGAAAACTCTGCTTTAACATGAACAAACTGGTTATCGAAGGACAAACACCTCGTTCCTTCTCTCTGACGATAAGTTCTTGATTCACAAAAAAATATCCTGGAGAAAGGAGAGAATTCAATTACTGCTAGTTTTTCAGGATCATTGCTGCCAGATTCACATTCTGAGATAAACATTTTTTAAAGGAAACATGATATTTTTGGAAATCCTCCTGCTGTCGTTTGGGTGGTTTTCCACTTTATTGGAAGCTAAGCTAACCTCTAGCCTCCAGTCTCTGTGCTCATCCTGGCTAAACGTCCTAGACCCATGAACGTGTTTCCATCTGATATCAGATTTGGATAATATCTGGGTACAGTGACAATCTGCAGGATTTCCCAAAATCTATGTTTTCTTTTCCGCTCAAACCCCCCCGGTGAATGCTGAAAGCCCTGAGGCCTGCAAATGCACTTTTTATTTTTTAATGGTTTTCAAAAAGTCCCTGTGTTCTGGTGTTGTTCAGCTCGTTCTTAGCTCCGCCTCTTAATTTCATTTTCCTATTTGCATCTTTAAAATGTATATTTTTGCTGAGAGGTGATTTAGTGGAACGTGATTGTGATGTTGTTGGTGTTTGTACCGGTTAAAAGGGATTTTGCTGTTGATTGTAAAGCGGCTCTTGAAAAGCTAATCTTACCTGTTAGTCTGTGTGGAGTTAACTATTATTTCCCAAGAGTCTAATTGAATGTTTCCAGATTTTCGTCAACGCAACCAAGACAACAAACCTCAACAAAGCTTAAACTAAAGATTGTAGAAGGCTCAACCGATAAAACGCTGGAGCATCAAACTGTTCACTAATCTCAGCCATGCTACTGTGTCTAGTGGCTAAAATTAGTATTTAGCTAACATTACTCTGCTAATATGTCATAATATTAGCAATAAATAATCTAAATGAAGGCTTTATCAAACCAGCTGTTGGGCTAAAGACTATACTGGCTAAAGAATAGCTAAGATAACTCAAAATATCTTAAACTGGTCTGTTTGTTTAACTAGTTCACCTTTAGCTAAAAGCTTTTCACATTAATGTTTAATTAGCTAACCTATAACCTTAATCAAAATTAACTGCTTTAGCTTGAATACAGGCTAAAACCAAATATTTCAGGGGATAAACAGTTAGCTACACTTTGTGGGTAAAGACTAAACTGGCAAACGTAAAACTAAAATAAACTGCAAGGCAACATTTGTCAAAATGTCTAAAACTGGTCTGTTAGTTCAGCTTTAGTTTCCCTTTTAGCTAAAAGTTTTTTATGTGTTATAGCTGAACTATTACAAACGTTGAAAGTAGCTAACCTATAACCTTAATCAAGATTAGCTGCTTTAGCTTGAATACAGGCTAATACCAAATATATTAGCAGCCTAACTGTTAGCTACAACTCAGCAATGTTTTGCCAAACCAACTATTTGTATGGGTGAAGACTAAACTGGTTAATATCGAACTAACCTACACTGAAAGACAACATTACCCAAACGTCTTTAACTAGCCAATGTTTTCACTTTAGCTAAACTACAATAAACTGTTCAATTAGCTGAATTATACCATTGGCTAAACCTTATCAAGATGAACTGCTTTAGCTTGAATACATTGTTGTAGTGTAAAAACAGGAAGGATAGATAATGAGATTACACATTCTTAAAGGTTCAGCCCCACAACCTTCAAACTGCAGATAGCATTGATTCAAATATGTCAAGTCCCTTCCGTCCTGTTTACAACACGATCCTCAACGTCTGAATATTTTCCTAATATCTTCTGCTAGAGTGTGATGTCAGAAAGTGCAGTGTATGGTCAAGCAGCAGTATAGTGCAGTAGATCTAATGATGCTGAATATAAATGCAGGTGTGTGATGTAGTAGTAGTTGTGTATTGAAGCTTCTGTTCTGAACGGCTGCTGTTTGAAAACAGGAAGAGGATTTATTGTAGAGTTGTCACACTTCAGTGTTGGTTATTATTTATTTTTCTAAATAAATATCTATTATTCAGTATGGACCTCTTTCTTTGTGTCAAACAACTTTTGAGGGTGAGTCCAAACTTTTGTTCAAATTATTTTATTATTGTATTTGATGGAAAAACTTCCAAGTCTCTACAACTTTCGGAAAAAAAGTTATTCCAAAATATCGTGTACTTTTTCTTTGAGATTTGGTGGTTTGACCCCTTCCGGAGATCGTAGAAGCTCGGGGATGGTACCAATGGATCGGGCATCCCCACATTAGTTCAGAAGGAACCAACTTCCAAGTCTCTATGACCTTCAGAACAAAAG